TTAATAGTTTTACAGTATTCTATCACTCCCACATTTTATCAGTCCTGTTCAAACACAGTCCGAAAACGGGGACTATGCATTGACCTCCATGCATATGTTATTTATACATTACTATTTATGAAATTCAACAAAATCAAGCATTTCTGCCATTCTGGAGACAAATCACGGTCATGTGTCGATGGATTTTGTTCAAACTTTGTACATATATTTCAGACATAATGAGACGTGATGCATGTCATATTGTTTTTAGCATGGGATTTAAAATTGCCGACTGGCGGCCATTTTTTTCTTAAACACTTTCTCTTTCACTTTCTTGCACTCCTGTAATTTGTTTCATGTTCTGATTCAAAATGGCTGACTCATTTCAGTTTTGTTTACTTATTAACTAACGGGAAAATTTTATTATATGGTGTATAAGGTCACAAAGGTGTAATCATATTTCTTAGTTATCACAAATTATAGTACCTTGTGCTGTTGATTGTTAAAAGTTCTCATTGCTCGATTGATACAGTACCATGTGGAGCATGATGTACAGTGATTTTGGACAACATGATAGCTCATTTGCATATCAATATGTTATAATTTGCATATTAATAAAATATTATTTAAGAACAATAACTAATATTTTTGGCATTATAATATGAGGTTATCACAAGAATACAGCAAAGTATGCACAAAACCAGTATGGGGCATTGTATTGAATGAAGCGTTGCGGAGGTTGATGCAACCCGTACATAATTTATCGAAAGATTATAGGTCGAAAAGACCTCGAAAAATCTCTTTGCGCTGTGCTACTGTTTGTTTAAGTGACTGGATTCTATTTCTATCACACTTATAGTGCTTCTGTGTCCAATGAAAACAAAGACAATTGTTTGAATATGACGCCAATAACCCATTACGTGTCAATATTGGTGACCATATAAGGGAAAATGTTTGAATAAATTAAAGTAAAGGCTGCACTGTTTATTCTTTTGTAATCTTGGGTTAATGAGCATTGCATTTTTCCAAGAATGCTTCAATCTTTTCTTTTCAATTATATTTTCTTCTATTTTTAACAAAATGATTATGTTTTGTTTTTGTTTCAGAAAGACGATCATAGGCATTTGAATCAATTCATCGCTCATGCTGCTCTGGATTTAGTAGATGAACATATGTGGACCACATCAAACATGTAAGTTATTGTAGCTCGTCAATTTTAAAGGCACTGTGTGGAAAAGAAACATTACAATTTTTCAGATGACAGCAGAAATTATCAGTAGTATTTAGGTGACAAGTTGGCAATTTGGCTTGTGAATTGGCTCACGGATAAATATGTGAATGAACAGATGTGGCAATCAACTGGCATCATTTATTAAAATCAAAGAAAGCTTAGAAAGAACTCCCATGTGCTGTGAGAGAGATTTTCAGAGAACCTCTATTATGCAAATTAATCAATTATTATGCATAAATTTAGGTTTTATTGTTCCAGAGTGCACATGTACCAAGTTTCATTATAATGTGATGATTAATGCTAAAAATAATTGGTGGAAAGCTGAAAAAGTAAATAATTGCAAATTAGATGGTCGCATTGTCTTAGAGTATATACATACCAAGATTCATTGAAATGAGATGATAAGTACCTGAGATATTGATGGAACAGCTGAAACCTGCACAAATTTTAATGTAAAACTATTAGGTCTTCATAATGTCACAGACCATCTATGTACCAAGTTTTATTGAAATATACTTAGAACCAATACATTATGAATTATTATGCAAATTAGGTGATTAATATGACCAGATTTTAATCCAAAACTAAGCAGGTCTGTGCATTGTCCTAGAGCACCTATGTACCAAGTTTCATTGAAATGTAACAATTAGTACTTGAAATATCAAAAGCTGAAAATTGACTAATTATGCAAATTAGGTAATTAATATGCAAATATTATTAACCTGAAACCAATGAGGTCTGTGCATTGTCCTATGACATATATGTATCACGTTTCACTGAAATGTGATGATTAGTACTTGAGATCAGTGGAAAAGCCAAAAATTTACTATTTTTACCCAAAGCTAATCAAATCTGTACATTAGTTCAGAGCAACCATGTAACAAGTTTCATCAAAATCAAATAAGTGGTTCTTTAGATATCAGTAGAACGGTCATGAAACAGCCGGAAATTAGCTAATTATCATGCAAATTAGGTAATTAATATGCACAGATTTTAACCAAAACCTAATCAAATCTATGCATTAGTCCATTAGTTTCATCAAAACCAACATATGGTTTCCATTGTGTTTTTTCCAAGCAAAAAATGTCAAGCTAGTGATGAGCTATCAGCATGGTGTGCAAAATGTCCTCTGTAACCATTTTTAATATTAATCATGAATATTCTATTTTTTTTTGACAGGTATCTGAAAATTGTGGATAAATTCAATGAATGGTTCGTTTCAGCTTTCGTTACCGCTGGTCATATCCTTTTGTTTTTATTCAGTTGTTTGTTGAGTGTTTGTCGAAAGGTGATTCTTACAAATGCTCCATATAAATCAGCTTAATAATTGACTCTTTAACACTTCTGAAAGCATATTATTCCCGCCAACATTTTGATGTGGTAGTTTGTCCATTTTTATGTATTTTTTATGATTATTTCCATAATCTTGGATTAACTTGACTTAATTTCCTACTGGCTGCAGGTGTTGATCAAAATTTTGAAAAAAAATATGAAAACAATTATGTGGATTTTCTTTTTGTTAAAGTTATGAAAGGTGACTCAAAAACTTAAAGATCAAAGGCAACTTTTGTTCCCTCACACAAAATAAACCAGTATAGCCAAAACAGATTTATTTATAAAAAAAAGTCATGGTGTATTTCTTTTCCTAAAGATCCCCAACTACATATTTTAAGTTTTTATGTTTTGCAATTCAGTAATAACTTAAGATGTAAGGTTTCAGGATCACATTGGCTCTATCAATTGTAATTCCTGTTATTTTCAACTTTTTGAATGGAATGGCATACTGTAAAACTCCTTGTAATAGCTGCATGTAATTTTAGCGAATTTTTGACTCAATGCATGAATTAACCGAATCTTAACTTGGCTAAAGTATCACCAATCTCATCATGAGAATATACATTATTTTAAATCAGCTACATCTTGAATTAGCGATATTACAGATTAGCTGAACTACAGGTAGCTAAAATAACATGCTAACTAAAAAGACATGTTTTACAGTGTTGTGTGGGACTTCAGTGAAAACCAGATTGTTTTGAAATGACAAACTGATACATTTAGAGTCAACATTTCTATTACTGGTATTGCAATTACTAGTGTCGTTGAATCAACTTCATTTTGGGATTCCTACATTTGCTAGTTTAACAAATACACATTGGCTGTATATGTTACATGTAAATTAGTCTTTTTTATCTGACTGTGAAATCTTCAAATTATTACATGACAATCTCTGTGATATCACATCATATTTCTGAGTGATCTATATATTTGGACAAGTTGCCAAAACACCAAGTTCACCAGTATTTCAACTTTCGCGACCTGTCATGATTTCATATTGATTTCTCACTTTCAGTCGCTTGTGGAATGCCAGCTTGAACATGCAAAGTTCGAAAAGTTGATCCATAAGTCTTCAAACACAGTTGTAAGAAAATAAAACTCACCGCAGAGTTGTTAGTGTGCATTGTAATTACAACTTACTAGTTCAGGTCGCACAGTAAAAATATTTTGCGTATTTGGATTATGATCAAGGGACCTCCTGCATATTCCATGTATGATATAATCGCAGTTATCTTTTCTGCATTTTGGAATGCTTTAAAAAAGCGAAAAAAAAACGTCCGAGGCGCATAGTTCAAAATAATGCGTCTGGAAACACGAAACAGAGATATTTTTTTTCTCAGCCTTAACAGTGTGTTTTTTACATTATAATCACCAAGTGCTTTTTCGTGGCAGACCTTAGTGGCCTTTAAGCAGAACATTTGTTATTTTGGATGAATAGATATCAATAATGGTACAGGTGAATCTTTTTTTTTTCTTAACACTTTCAACGTATGAGGTTTATGATGCTACATGACGTTAAAAATGAAGATGGTATTAAAAATTTCTTTCAAGAGATATACGAGATTTATGTTAAGGTTTGCCTTTTTTATTTTACTAATATAAGGACGTAGATGATGGTGTGTTCTACATTCATTGTTAACTGTTAACCGCTCAATTTTTATCACTATCACGTTATATGATAATTTGTGTAGTGTGATTTCTAAAATAATTTGATCAAACCATCATGGACACAGAATGCAGTGAACGCTTTAGAATGTTTGACACACTATTTGCATAAGATATTAATATACATTCTTCATATTGCGTTCGCTCTGTTGGTACTTGTAAATGACAACAGTTATCTTGTGATATACAAGGATACAATAAATACAATGTTTAATTTTAAAATGCATGTATGAACTATTATAGATGCACTTCTAATAGAGCAAATACGGTATTACAATTTTTTGTTTATGAATATGAGCAAATGGGGATGCCCAAAACAAATACCATATTACAATTGTGCATGCTCGATTCTTGCATTACTGGATAATTCACATTTTGATTTCGTACATGACCATGCAGGCAAGATTTCATCATGAACCCTTATATTCATCTGCCCTTGATAAAAAAGAATGCATTGTTTTATGTCTGCACCGGTATTGTTAAAATATTTCCTAACAAATGTTATTTATTCACTGTCAAGGTGTTCCAGTTGTAATTGTTCAATCTTTTTTCATTATAGCATTCAATGAATCCATTTTATGAACCAAACACGCCGGTAAAATCAGCGTCTTTTGAAAGGAAAGCACAGTTTTATGCACGGAAGTTTCTGACAAGTTAGATCGCAGTTGAGTGTACATCGTGGTTAGTTACTTTAACCTCTGCCAATATGTTAATGAGGATGACAAGTTCTGGCAATGTGGTTACAAGGATGACAAGTTCTGGCAATGTTGTCATGACATTGACAATTGGAATAAACTATTTAACTTATGGTAGTATTTGTAGTGGCTCAGCAGGAGTATGTATTTGTCATGTGACTAGTCATGTGATGGGCCACAGAACACGGTTGGGATAACAATGTATTGGAAATTGTTGTCATAATAGTATTTTATCGTATTAATATAATT